TCTAAGTCTCATCCAAACTGTTTATAAATAGTTTGTTTTTATCGTCAAGTTTATTCCATTATTTGTATATATTAAATTGTGTGTACAATTGTGTATACCCAGTCATTTACGAAGGGAAAATATCTGTCATTCCCAGCGTTCAGTTATTATAAATAAAGCAGCTAGAAAAATTTGGATACAAATCTTAGTGTGAATAACTGCTCTCATTTTTCCTAGGTAAAATCTAGGGAAGGGCTGTATGGTTTAGCTGCAAATCATCAAGCTATCCATTACTCGATCAGTCAGGAAGGATGTTGGTGTTGAATGAGAAAGGGCCAAGTCTTCCAGTGCTTTGATGAACCCTCAGAAGTGAGGCCTTTTGGCCAAGTGTCTGTGAATTCATAATGTTGGAGTACTCACTACGTCCCTTGGGATGGTAGCTCTCTTTTAAGTTTCCAAAAGCTGAAAGAAGATACATGCAGATTTATACAGAAATTGTGATTCCACGAAGGATTGCAAGAAGATGAGGGAAGCTTTAGTCTCCTTCAAAGCGATTATGGAATGCAAAGAATTTCTTAGGGCTGACCAATGTTCCTAAACTATAAAGCATGACTATGTGAACTAAGGAAGAGTTTCTGTGGGTAAATAAGCAATTAACAAAGAAAATAAATTATTTGCCCAATTTTCCCTAAGTGGTTGTTTTATCTAACAGTTTTCCAGTAGCTTAGGAGGACTCCAGTTGCTCCATGTCCTTGTTATCATTTGGTGTAGATAGTAATTTTCTTTTTCCTTTCCAAATTATTTTATATGTATGTATGTCTGTGTGTATATATATACTTGAAAACAGGCGTGGCATCCACTTCCTAAACTACATGCCTCTGGAAACTATAAACTTTGAGAAACGATGATAGTTATAAAAAGGCTTCAGGTCTTTAGTTCATAGGGTCACTAAGAGTCATGCTTGACTCGATGGCAATCAACAACATACACACACAGAGAGATTCAGAAAATGTGAACTTTAAACATTTTCTACATATATCACTGAGTTACATTAATTACATTCATCATGTCATGTTAAGTGTAGTGTGATTATTTAGAGAAGAGGAAGGGGAAAAAACCAAAGATGATTTTAAAAAGGGCTCTCTATTCTGAAGCAATGCCATCAAAGAACACAGACTGGAACAAAAAGGCACAGAACTGAGTCCCATGCACATGCTACAAGCTGCCTGTACAAATGTCAAGATAGAAGTTTGCATGAGACAAAAATCCACTAATATTTTGAGAATTTTTCCCTTGAGAAGGAACATTTATACAATATTCTTCTTCATACTTCATTTTTTTAATATCTTTTCTTTCTACAGAAACTCAGCAGGAAGGAGCCACCATGACTTTGTCTCTGTGTGTGTCTCTCTGTCTTGTCTGTCTCTTTTTCTCTCAGTTGGTTTCTCTCAACAGTTGCCATAGCTAGTCATGTTCTCTCTCCAAAGCAATGATTCTTAAAGTATGGCTACGAACTACAGCATGGCAATTAGTTGCTTCATTGAAGAAAAGCTTGGAAGAACGCTACAAGTCCTAATCCAGAACATAAACAGTCTTCCAAGTATCCTGAAAAACCTACAACCGGGAGAAGATAAAATAGATGAATGGGATCTTCTAAGAATCAAATCCCTATGCACATCCAAAACATTCCCCAACAGGGTAAAAAGGGAAGTCACAGAATGGGAAAGTATTTGGTAATGACATGTCAGATAAGGGATTTATATCCAGAATTTATAAAATACTTGAGCACCACAACAAGATAAAGGTAAATAATCCAATAGAAAAATGGACACTGGATATGAACAGACACTTCACCAAAGAAGACTTTCAGATGGCTAACAAGCACATGAAGAAATGTTCAAAGTCCCTAGCTCTAAGAGAGATGCAAATTAAAACAACTATGAGATATCACCTCACCCCAGTCACAATAGCAAAATTTAACAGAATAGCAAGCAACAAATGCTGGCGAGGTAGTGGAGAAACTCCCAACAGTGGGAGTGTAAAATGGTGCAACCACTGTGAAAGGCGGTATGGCGCTTTCTCAAAAAGTTGCAAATAGAGATACCGTTTGACCCAGCAATTCCACTACTGGGAATATAACCCAAAGAGACCATACTGATATCTAAGCAGATATATGCACACCCATGTTTATTGTGGCTTTGTTCACAATAGCAAGGAGTTAGAAACAACCTAAGTGCCCATCAACAAACAAATGGATAGAGAAGCTGTGGTACATTCACAAAATGGAATACTATGCTGCACTGAAAAACAAGGATCTCATGCAATATTATTCAAAATGGGTGACCCTGGAGGACATTATGCTGAGTGAAGTATCTCAGTCACAAAAGGACAAATACTGCATGGTGCCACTGTTGTAAAACAGGACTGACATTGGGGTTGATGGGAGACTGAGAAAGATGGGTTCAATAATATATCCTGCATTTAAACAGATGAGGGAGAAAACTGTTTAAAAGGGATATGTGATTAGGTATTTTTGTCATGACAGGAGTCCAGAGAGAAGGCTGCATAGTGGAGTGGACCTGGGGGAGGGTTTGTAAAACAATGAAAGACTTTTTCTTTTCCTTTTCCACGATGGTAGTGTACTGGGGGCGGAGGGGAGGGGCAAAAAGTGCAACAATAAATAAATGGAAATCCAAAGTCTCTGTAACTTTTCGTTGCAAATAGAGATACCATTTGACCCAGCAATTCCAATACTGGGAATATACCCTGAAGAGACCATAGCTGACATCCAAGCAGATATATGCACACCCATGTTCATTGCAGCTTTGTTCACAATAGCAAGGAGTTGGAAACAACCTAAGTGCCCATCAACAAACGAATGGCTAGAGAAGCTGTGGTATATTCGCACAATGGAATACTATGCTGCATTAAAAAACAAGGAACTCATGCAATATTATTCAAAATGGTTGACTCTGGAGAACATTATGCTGAGTGAAATATCCCAGTCACAAAAGGACAAATATTACATGATGCCACTGTTGTAGAATGGGACTGTCCTTGGGGTTGGGGAGAGACTGAGTAAGATGGGTTCAATAATGTATACTGCACTGAAACAGAGGAGGGAGAGAACCGTTTAAAAGAGAGATGTAACTGGGTGTTTCTGTCATCACAGGAGACTAGAACGAGGGCTGCATGGTGGAGGGGACCTGGGGGAGGGTTTGTAAAACAATGAAAGAATCTTTTCTTTTACTTTTCCATAATTTTTGGACTCGTGTACTTATAACTTGTTAGTCAAATTTGTGTCTTCTAGGTTGCAACACCCCCATGATACATCTTGAAGGATATGTACATGTACAGCCAAGCACAATCAATAAGAGTGCATCTGAATTCCAAAATCAATCTCCATAATAGTCTATGTGTTTCCTACTGCCAAAGGGGCCCTTTAGAGTAGTGAGAGAAGATCTTCACCCTGAAACCCACAGCGTCCCTTTTCAGCAGGAAGTAGCTAAGAGAATACGCCGTCCCCTTTTCCTTATGACTCAGGGTGAAGTCTCTCTCAGGGAGGAGTGATAGGGAATGGCAAAGGATACACTGACAAAGAAGATTAATCAGAACTGGCTTTGACAAGCACTGTGGCATTTGGACAAGAACAAACTGGGAGGAGGGTAGAGAGAATAGTGCAACAATGAATGAGTGGAAGCCCAAAATCTCTGTAAATGTTTATGAAAATTAATAAAATATAATTATAGGGAAAAAAAAACCAAAGTCTCTGTAACTTTTCATTGAAATTAATAATAAATTTAAAAAAAAAAAGAAAAAGAAAAACCAGCAGCTACCTTAAAACTTTCAAATCCCTGTGCCCCAGCCTATCCAGACCTGCTGACTCATAACTGCTCTTTAACATTTATGCACTGTAGTATTTGCAAACATTGTCTCAATTAGGTGAGCTTTAACTGAAAACCTGAAAGATCAATGTTGAAAAGAAGCTACATAAACAACCACCACCAAAAATCCCCACTAGGTAGGAGGGCAAGAATGCTGGAAATGAATCTATGACTCAGTCTTGGCAAAGCTGGTTAACCTCAGCCCTCTGGTTGTTCACAGATGAGTGATGGCAACCAGTAAGCCGGCCAGTCAACTCCACCAGCCCCTCAACTCTTCTGCTCTCCCCCCTACATCTTGTCATTGTTTGTAGCACTGCAGCTGAACGGGCATAGGTGACAGCATTGGGTTTTCAGGTTTTCTTTCTTTTAGAAGCTTACCCTTTTTTTAAAAAAGTAAACTTTATTGACATAGAATTTACATACAATTACTTTGTGTACAGTTAGTGTTCTGATATAGTTATACAGAACTTCCATCATCTCAAAAAAGTTCCCTCATGCCTCTAGTCACCATGCACAATCTCAAGTTACTACTGAGACTTTTTAGATTAGTTGTTTTTTCTATAATTTTACATAAATGAAATAAGTTTGTTTTGCTTTGACTTGCTTACTTTACTCCACAAAAGTGTCTTTGAGATTCAAAAGCTGTGTGCATTAGTAGGACAGTCATTATTGAAAGCTATTCATTTTGTTGTCAAGCTGTACTCTAACATACATTGTTTTACCTATTTCAACTGATTGTGTTATAAATAAAGCTGCTGACACCTTTTGATTCTCCTGGATTAAAATAAAATACTGGTATGGTTACATAGTAGGTGCATATTGTGCACTTTTGTTATTAAAACACCAGAGTGTTTTTTGGTAGGCAAACATACCTACAGCCACAGTGGCCACTGTTACAATCAAGGGCCAGTGGACAGACACTGGGAATGAGAATGTCATGACCTCAGCTAACAGGTATGCTACAAACCAAAAAAGCAGTGGCACTTGCTGTTCCAGCTACTAAATAGTAATAAACTTGTAATAGTCAAACACCACTTTTAAAACTACTTTTGGAACACTTTCTTCCTCAAAAAAGAGGATGTGATAACTTTTAATAACAACTGTAATTCAAAACACAACTAGGAAGTCATTTCTTACCTCTGTGCATAATCTTATGCTTCTCTCTCAGATACGTCAGTCCCTTTATTACCTGCCAGGCAGAAACACAAAAATAAAGGAACTAAAATCATGGTAGTTAGAGAAGAGTCAATCTCTCTAATTTAAAATTATCTAAAAAAGATTTCACCTAACATAATAAATTTGCCTTCCTTATTCCTTATTTTCATGCTGAAATCTTTCAAAGTATGCTGAGTATTACTTTCAAATAAAATTAAGTACGGCAAGTTTAAACAACTTTTAAAAATTCTTTGAGTAAATGTTCACATTTATTAAACTTGCCATCTAAAGAAAAGCATTCTGATGCCACAAATCAGAATGCTCTATGACACAGATTTTAATACAAAGAAAGTAATTTTCCTACATGCAACAAAAGGGAAAGAAAGGGTAAGTTTTATCTAGGTAGAATAAATTCTAGTAAGAATCTCCTTCTTCTAAATTTTCCCTTCACTAGCTTTTTATCTTCCTCACTTGCCCATTTCCTACTAACTCTTTAAATTACCAAACAAGGGATTTTGAAAAGAAGTTTCCTAATATACTTACAGCAATGCTAACTTTTCCTAAAATTTGTTCAGGAATTCTTCCAGCTTTCTTCAGGACTTGATCCAAGGAACCCCCATCCTAAGAACAAGAATACCAGCCCATTTAGTGACAATATTCCTAATTGTTCTTTCAAGGATCGAATTTTATAAGGAAAAGGAATTTCACATACAACATACAAGGCAAATTCTCTTGGGTTAAGGGTAAGCACTCTTTGGTTTGCAAGTATGTTATGAATGCAAAACATTCTGGGAGCTTCCAAATAACTGGTAACTCAAATCCTATGAAAAATCCTCAAACAAATGATAAGTTCACAAATAACAGTTTAATTTGCACTGAACTCACATCATAGTACACTGGTTAGACGAACAGGCTCTGGAGGCAAACTCTGTCTTATTATAATCCCTGCTTTGCCACTTATTGTCATATTTATTACTATTATTAGTAGTATTAACATTTACAGAGAAAATTAATTCTGATTCAATAACTCATATGCATTTCGTTTTATGATTACTTGCTATTTTGATGACTTTTACAACGTTATCAATATGTAAAATGAAGATAATAAATAAGGTTATTATAGTAATAAAAGCTTTTTTTAAAATTTTTATTATTTTTGTGTATGTGTGTATCATCAAATCAGATCTGAATGGTACCAGAGGAGATTATCCCTCTTTCTCCAGCAGAGCATCTGGTGGATTTGAACCACACATCTCTGGATTGCAGTGCAGCTTCTTGCCACTAAGCCACCAGAGCCCGCCACTAAAAGAGCTATTATTAATAAAGAAGTCCATAATATAATGCTGGTGATGCTTAGCGCTGGCAGGACAATGGCTGGGAATCCTGTTTTCTGTGGTGTTGGGGTTCGCGGACAACACACAGAGTTCAGGTGGCCGAAACCGTTAGTTGTCAATTTTCCTGGAGGAAGGGAAGGAAATGCTGGAATGGCAGTGGGTGGGTGCTGATTTTTCAAAGCTTGGAAAAGAACTAAGCCATTGGATTCACTGAACTGACGCGAATGACTTTTCCTACCCCAAATCATTTTAAGGTCTCATTCTGTAGTTAAAGCAAAGTTTCTTGTTTTACTAACATTCACAAATTATAAGTGGACCTGAAATGAGCTATTTATTCTGTCATGCAAAATTGGTATGGGGCTGAATGGTCGACCTACTAATACAAAGTTTATTCCTTTCTAATCTTTTAGATCTGTATTTTACATTTTTTCCCTAAGCAAATGTTAGAGTTGGGTTTTCTGCTGGTTTGACTCCCCCACTGTTCCCTCGGTATAAATCTACAGTAATTGAAAGTTCCTATAGAAACATGCAAGCAAGATTCTGCTGAATATTATCCAAAAATAACTGGAACAGCAAATCAATAGAGAACTACCTGAAGTGTAGGCTGGGTTTAGAAGAGGCCATGGTACTAGGGATATCATTGCTAATGTCAAGTGGATCTTGGCTGAAAGCAGAGAGTACCAGAGGAATGTCTATCTGTGTTTCACTGACTATGCAAAGGCCTTTGTGTAGATCACAAGAAACCGTGGCTAATCTCTTGAGAAGAACAGGAATCTCAGAACACTTGATTGTGCTTATGCAAAACCTATACCTGGACAAGGAGGAGGCAGTCATCTGAACAAAGCAAGGGAACACTGCCTGGTTCAAAATTGGGAAAGGTGTGCACCAAGGATGTGTCCTATATCCATATCTTTTCAATCTATATGCAGAACAGATTATCCAGGAGGCTGGGCTCTATGAAGAGAAATGTGGCATCAGAATTGGAGGTAGATTCAACAATCTGCATTACGCAGATGACACAACCCTGCTGCAGAGGGTTAAGGACTGCAGTCTTCAGTATGGATTGAGGCTCGATGTCAAGAAGACAAAGATTCTTACCACTGTACCAATTGACAGCATCAGGATGGAATGGTGAAGAGATTGAGATTGTTGACCATTTCAGTTTGCTTGGCTCTATAATCAACACTTTTGGTACCAGCAGCCAGGAAATGAAAAGACAAATAGAGACCTCTCCAAAGTACTGAAGAACAAAGATGTCAATCTGGAGACTAAGGTGTGCCTGATACAGGCCATGGCCTTTGCAATTACTTGATATGCTTCAGAAAGCTGGACAATGACTAGGGATGACAGACGGCAAAGTGCTGCCTTTGAGCTGTGGTACTGGAGAAGAGTACTGAATGCACCATGGACTGCTAGGAGAACAAACAAGTTCGTCCTGGAGAGGGTGAAGCCAGGCTGTTCCGTGAAGGCAAGGTTTCTGAAGCTTCGTCTGAAATACTTTGGATATGTTGCAAGGAACGATCAGTCCTTGGAAAGGGACGTTATGCTTGGGAGGGTGGAGGGACAGCGCAGGAGAGGAAGATCCTCGATAAGGTGGATTGATTCAGTGCCTGGGGTAATAGGGACAGGTGTGTCAGAGACAATAGGATTGGCAAGGGATAGAGCATGGTTTAGGATTTTATACATAGGGTCACTATGGGTCCCAGGCAACTCGAAGGCACTTAACAACAAACAACAACATTGAAACTTGACTTGCAATTCCTTGGATTTATAATAAAATGCACTATTCAGATTTTTTAATATATAAAGCAAAAAATTTTTATAATAAAAAACAAGCTTATAATAAACATGTTAATACATATAATAAAATATTTAGAGCACATTACATTCAAGCTCGAGCTCACTGTTACTGAGTTGGTACCGACTCATCGCTGGCACGTCACTGGGTTTCAGAGACTGTTAACTGTACACGAGGAGACTGAGCACCCATCTGTGTCCTGTGGAGCTGTTGCCAGTGAGGCAGAGAGCCTCTGGGTTTGCAGTGCAACTCCACAGTGACTACACCAACTGAGCTCCCTTAGTACACAACAAACTCTCCTGCGCTGCAATCCCGAAGGCACACGGTTCAAATCCCCCAGATGCTGCATTGGAAAAGGACCAGCAGTCTCTTCCTGTGCCCGTCAGATCTGACTTGATGGCACACAACAACAATAACAAAAAAATTCAATTCATTAATGTCAAGTTGGAACCAATGCCTGGCTGACCCTTCAGTGGATGTTCAGAAGTTGTAAATCATACAGAAGGAAAGGGACTGCCTGTCTTTCCCCTTTAAAGGAGCTGGGGGATTCAACCTGCCTGTCGTAGAGGAGCTGGCAATTCGACCGCTGGAGCTCCCAGCACATAACAAGTATCAATAAACGTTAGCCCTTACTATTTCACCATTACAGAAAACAGAACCTGCATTTGGTATTATCTTCTTGTTGTGTCTGTCTAGTCAGAACCAACCCACTGCTGACTCTGTGGTGGTTTTTCAGAGGCAGTAAGTTGCACAGGAGGAGATTAACCATCTTTCTCCCATGGAGCAGCTAGGGGATTCAAACGGCATACCTTTGCTCTGGCAGAGCAATTCCTTACCACTCAGCCACCAGAGCTCCCTTAATATTATCTTAGCAACTCAAAACGGAAAATACAAGGGCAGTATTTGCCCAGGGACAAAGCTCAGAAGGCAGAAAGCGATACAAAAGAGAAGTGAACAGGAGCTCTGGTGGCCTAGTGGCAAGAAGCTGCACTGCAATCCCAAAGGCGTGTGGTTCTAATCCCTCAGATGCTTCACTGGAGGAGGAGAGGCAATCTCCTCCTGTGCCAGTTGGATCTGATTCAGCGGTACACAACAACGGAAGGGGGGTAAAAAAGACAAGTAAATAGAAACAGGGAACACAGGGAGGAAGTGAGGGTGCTGCTACAACACAGGGACTGTAATCAACAACACAAAACATAAGGATTATGAACTTGGAAAGCTGAAAAACCAACTTTCAAAGCACAAGGAAAAAATTCTAAATTGCCTAGTCAAAAAGCAAAAGGAAAGAAGATAATCTTAAGTAGCCTAGTGTTCCTGGAAGCACATGTGGTTCGTTTCACCATGGGAATGTGAAGACATGCTGTGAGGGCTACTCTGGAAGTGACCAGCTGTGACCAGACCCGCCCAGGATCTGGATTCACTTTTCTGACACAGGGATAAAGAAATCCCATTTGGGGATTTTAAGATCAGAACTACAGCTGGGGGGGGGGGGG